AGTAGTGATCTTGAATTTTAGTTTTTTTTTATGATTTATGGGGCGAACGGCGAGCAAAAAGGCATATAATAATAGACATCTGCAATTCAACACATACTAGTGCATTGCTGCTCGTTGAGTGCTTCAGGTGCAGAAGCGGAGGAGGGCTTGCTAATTTCGGCCCTACGGTTGATATTGGGATGTCGTATATAGTAAGCGAGGTAACTTTTACTGCGCGATACGCCATAAGGAGTTACTCCGTTATGCGACAACCCTATAGCCGCTTTAAATATTTTATAGATCTATTGCATCTCCATGGAATATTTTGAAAATGTTTCCAAGGAACTTATGTCTTTAAACTTACTGTACTATTCTACATTGCCGGACTATTAGACCCTTGCATAGGACGCATTCTCTACCAATCAACCTTGTGGAGGTGTAAAAATGGTGTATGGTTCTGTGAAATATTTGTAATCTATATATATATATATAGTATCTTCGAATGAGTAATGACCAAAGCCGTCAGAGCTGACGTTTAATAGACGTGTTTCACTTTCACAGTATTGTACATACAAATATATACACTTTTTGAGTACACTTCCAAAACTCAAAAAGTTCTACACCGATTGAGCTCAAATTTTGACACAATATACAAACCGGTTCAGAGATTGTTTTTGTTTAATTTTCGCTTCACTTTTGTTCTTCTCATCAATAGCAACTAAAATGAAGCCTAGCAGGTTAGGTAGGTACAACTAGTTATTTCTATTAATCTCGTAACTTAAAGTAGTTAACTTAAATCATCATCATCAACAGCCTTTACTAGTCCACTGCTGGACATAGGCCTCTCCTTACAAAAAACGTTTTGACCTACTATACCACGCTGGCCAGACGAGTCGATATATAGGGTTTGTTTCAGGTTTCCTTCTTTTCAGGTCAGTCCTTCTCTTTGCAGTGCTGTTGTCCCACGGAATGAATACGGGTGGTGACACTCCGTATTCTTAATCTGTACCTCACTTATATGTAGAGATTTCTAAATGTCACTAATACACAACATACACATATATCCGAAATATTAAATATAATAAATATGTACCACTCAAGATTACAACACGTATATACAAAGCTCGCGAGGGTGGATTGAGTACTTAATAAGGTGTGGAAGAAACAAACAAAAAACACACTTTCGATTAGGATTATGATCAAGTAACTAGCAGATATATAAAAAAAACATTTGATTAAGAGATTTATATTTTCTTTATAATGAAGTTGTATAAAAAATATTGTTTTCTCGCTAACCAAGTGTTGGCTTCATCAGTAAACACGATATAGTTTGAGGTGCGCTTACAAAGTTATAAAGTTAAACAAGTGATAATTAATTATAAGACTGCACGGATGGCGTAGTGGTTTAAGCGGTCGCCACGCCGCTTCCTACTGCGCCGAGTGTTGTGGGTTCAAACCCCACATGGAACGACACTTTGTGTGATCCACAAATTGTTGTTCTGAGTCTGGGTGTTCTTTGTGTCCGTTTCGTATATGTTTGTAAAGTCCCCCGTGACACAGGAATGTATTCCTACTGCGGGAGTTGTCTTTTTTAAGAAAAAAAAAAAAATTATCTGTGTTAACTTGGAAAGTTAAATTTTTATAGAAAAAAAAACGTTCTCTTAAAACTACTTAACTTTCTTGGTTATAGTAAATTTATAAATTATCATAAATTTTTAAAGTTCACTGTAAATTTAAAGGAAAATGCTCAAATTTCATTTATTTTCACTGTATTTTTGAGGTTGCGTTTTAAAGGAAATAGGGAATCGTTTAGGATGACTTTGTTATCTGCTTGTCTTCCTGTCTGTCTGTGTAACCATCAAACTGTTTGTCTTTAAGCTTGTCTATCGAGTCTAATTTTCTCAAGAACGTTGTAAGGTATCCAGTTCAACAACAGTTGATTTTGATTTTTAATCAAGTATTTAAGTCCACAAAAGATTTTCATAATTATGACATTTTCCCAAATTTACTTGGGTTTTATTTATCCATTTTTTTATCACTCGTCAGTATATTGCTTACTCCCTGTATAGCCATATCTTCTTTTATATAATTCATCCATCTTTTCTTTGGTCGTCCTCTACTCTTCGATCCGTTAACTTCTATACATAAAACTTTCTTACCATACAGGGTAACCTTTTTCTCCTCAAGTTTTCATTCTTTGGCGCTACATTCAGGCTTCCTCTTATGTATTTTTTTCTCGCCTTGTCTATCTTAGTCACCCCACACTAAGATATGATCACCAAGTTCATAAAATATGATCATTCATATTTAGTCGTACATTTACATAGGTAAAAAAATGCCTATAGGGTAAATATATGCCTAAACATCATTGGCTTAGATCTATGAAATATGGCAAGAAGCGAGCAGGCAAGCAAGGGTTAAGAGTTCAATTGTCTGAAAGAACTTCCTACATACTTTAAACAGGGTCCTCGGTTAGTCAGGCATATAAATGGTTTTTATTAGCTTACCTTTTTGTTACATATATGGGTCAAATTTAGTAAATAAAGTGAGTTTTTACCCTCTTGCTATTGACCGATGATCTAAAATTGGTACACTCCTTAGTTCTGATGACAATCCACTTTTGTGTAATTAGTAGCATTGTATTTCTTGATTAATACTTAACCAATAAACAAAATCCCAAACTAATATGGTCACTATCACAAAATAGCGCATTACATATTTTAACAATAATGATGATCGATGGCGAGCTTAGCTAATAGAATAGAGCACACAATGGAAACAGTACTTAAAAAGGGTTTCACGCAAAGAAGTATTAGGCTGAAATATAATTCGGTAGGTACCAGGCACTAGTCATCACATTAAAGTCCTCTGTCATCTAGGATATTGATCGTACGAAAATAAAAACATGGGTCGTAGCGTAACCTGAGAAAATATATAAATTATCTTCCCGGGATGGTTTATGACGGTAGTCACGTTTCATAACTTTCTTTGACTCGATCAATGACCTTTACATACAGAGAAACATTTTTTTATAGTTAATTACTTCACCGTGAGATTCCCATACGTCAGCACATATGGGCCAGGCTCGAGCGGAGTGATACCACGCGCTTACACAAAACCAGGGTGTTAACCAGTTCTTTCTTTGCTGTTCACTCGGCGAGTGAAGTTACCGGAGCCCAAACCCTCCCCCTTCCCCTGATTCTGGGGGGAGAGACTGGAAGGGCGACAACGAACTTGTTACTCTCGAGTTACAAGTGTCCATGGCGGTGGTAGTTCCTTACCATCGCTCGTCTGCTCTTTTCATCACTTAAAGTGTCAGAAAAAACACACACACATTTTTTCTGTGTCGCTCAGAGCGTTTAACGCACGATAAGGAACTTTATTCCAAAGAAAACCTTAAAGTCTAGTCCGCGAAAGTCTACTGTAGCGTCTAACTCATCTTGGTGAAAAGAAAAAACAGCTTTTTATTTGTTCTTTATTGATATCACCAATAAATAATATACAAAAATAAAATTGGTGGACCATAAGAAGATAGGGACTAAACTACTGGTAAGTACCAAGAGTTGTCTGAGTATTTAATCGGTAACAACACAACTTGCACTGGTAGGTGCAACTAACATAGTAAATACATCTACAACTTGTAACTTGCTCTAGAATATTAAATAAATATAAACAACCACAAAAGTAATATAATAGAATATAACATCCTTGGAGAGTAATGGTTACTCAAGTTTGGTTCATTTAAATACAATACATCGTTCATCTTATAATACTAGTATGAGCAAAAGTATAACGCGATTCAAGAAGAAGGAACAACGCCCTCTATCGAGATTTATCTTAACCTATTTATATACAAATCTGAATTTCGAATAGATTTTTCTAAAATACAAACTTTTCTAGCCTTGAATTTGTTAGAAACTATTACCTATAGGTATGACTAGTATAACTAAATCATTAATTAAATAATATTATTAATAACACTACTAACTAAAAGTAATGATAACATATATTTATAAAATTGATATTTTTGTTTTTATACATACAAAAGTGGTACCAAACAGTTCTATTGCATTCAACATGAGAGAGTCTAAACTAGTGTGATCATGATTCCTGAAATAAAATTACTTGTAGGAAGAAATATTCTATGCCTAAACGGTTTTATAAAGTCATAAATAAAGTAACTAACAGTAATTCATTATGAAATATACAAATTATTGTGAACACAACACCATTAATAGTAATAATAATAATAATCTCACACATGGCCGTCTGATCCCAAACTAGGTAGAGCCTGTGCTATGGTACCCAGACTGCTGATAAACATACTTATATAAATCTAAATACATACATATTATAAATAAATTACTCCCAGACACAGAACAAAATGAGTGTCATCATATAATTACTTGTCCTGGTCGGGAATTGAACACACGACCTCTGGTTTAAGAATCAGATTGACTAACCTCTAGACCACTTATACAGTACTAGCTTTTTCCCGTTGCTTCGACCCAATAAAGTCACAACAAAATATTTATTTTCTTTCAGTGCCGCTTCCGGTTACAATCATCCGTCCCTTTTCACGAAACCACTTCCACAGGTTGCAAAAAATCAAGAAAAAAGATGTTACACATAAAAAACATTAATATAATATAAATTTGACAAATTGATTACATATACACTACCTCATAATAGTCACGAACTTAACATATTATATATCCTATATATTATACCAATATTATTAATGCAAAAGTAAGTCTGTCTGTCTGTCTGGCTTTCACTACTAAACCACTGAACCGATTGCGATTGATACAGAGATAGATTAGAGCTTTGGGAAGGACCTAGGAAGCAGGCTTGAAGAGTTTTAAAAAGGTGATGAAATTTTGTATGGAAATGTATCATTTTCGAAGATAAAACGACGAAACAGTTTTATGTGTATTATTTGCAAAATAAGTATCCTAAAAAAAATAAGTCACTGGCAATTGCTAGTATGATTTAAAAATAAATTAAATTATCCTGAATCATTAAGATTTAACTGAATAAGAACCATCCGCATCATAGATCCGTTTTTTATAATCACTACCATAACCATGTTTATCATAACTATATGGCTGATTATCAAAACTACCATAGTGATCGGAATCACCGTGATTAAAATGACCGTGATCAAAATGGCCGTGATCAAAGTGACCATGTTCAAAGTCATCATGTTCGTAATGATGATCATCTATGTACACGTGATGTTCCTTCTTCTTCAGGTAGTGGATGAACCATAAGACGAAGTTCCAACCTTTATAGATGAGAGCGAAGAATAGCCCTGCGTAGATTATTTTGAGGAAGATCACCTTAGTAGCGACTACGTATAGAAAGTGACCTGCAGACAATGAAAAGTAAAACTTTAGCAACATAAATTCTGCCCCTATCTGCTGTTTCTCTTGTTAATAAGGATAACCTAAGCAGTGCTCTTCTATCAATGAAAATTGCGAGCATCATACTGAACCATTCCTAGGAGCGTCAAATAACCTTGAATTCCAAAAAAGTGGAAGATGTACCTTTCTTCTAACTTTTAACTAAATAATAATAATTGAAAACGAATATTTATAATAATTTAAAGACTACAAAGAAAAAGAAGGATGTCCGTGTGGTGACGGATTCATCCCGTGGGTGTCGTAAAAGGCGACTAAGGGAGCAAACTACGCAGGACAACAGCACTGCAGAGAGAAGGAAAACTTGACACAAACCCTATACCAACCCGTCTGGCTAGCGTGGTATAGTAGGCCAAAACCTCCTTTCTAAGGAGAGGCCTATGTCCAGCAGTGGACTAGTATAGGCTGTTGATGATGATGATGATGATGAAAGAAAAAGAAAATTAGTTTTTGTTTTTCAAGAGAGCTAGAATAACAAATGTATTTGTCTAACGAAACGCCTGTAAAATAATTATTGCAAACTGCTCTCTGAGTAAATAAGGTACATCAACAAAAGACTTTTTTTGTATTCCTGAGTTAATGGTTACTGCTCCGGTCTTAAAAGAAATATTGTGGTATTACATAGCATAAAACCTTCCTCTAGACTAGGGATATCATAAAGAACATTCCTAATGCATCCGAGTTTTGATGCCACTTATGGCTGCTTTCAAACGAGAAAATGTCTAAAGTTCTTTTAATTATAGATAAATACCTAAGACTACATTGTGTTTATTTAAATACAAGGTACTTGAACAAAAATAAGTTTTTAAGTAGTAATTCAAATGACTACTCCATACAGCAAGCAGTTTCATTCAATAAAATTATGATATCACTCGAGACGGGATAAAATAAGGATTCTAATAACACTTCATACATTCAAATCTGATTTAGAGTTTAGAAGTTATTCTGAAATAGAGAAACTGTCATACACATATGAACTCTTAAAACTTTGCAGTCTGTAAAAATGTGTAAATTTTACAAGCTTGCTTCCCGTGTTGTTTACTTACGGAACCTTTGGAGAGCGAGTCTAACTCGTACATTATCAGTATATTTTTCAATTAAAGAGAGAGTAATTCCTACTATCCCCATTAAACTTTCTAGATTTAAAAAGTCTGTTTATATGGATAAAATGATGAAATCTTAAAAAAGGTGTCATACATACGCACCTATTCTAAATCAATCAATGATGTTTCGTGATAAAATCAGCAAGAAAATCCAATGTCTCGTACCCCGAACCAGTTTTATGATTATGAAAGCTATTACTATATGGATCGAGTGTTTCTGCACCGTGATAACTGTACTGATCGTGTTGATGAAAAGGGTCGTGATGATACTGATTGTAATGATGATAGGGGTCCGGTACATGCTTATATATGCTTAGGGCCCACGCCAAAATGATAAACAGCTTGATGCTAGCTGCTAATAAGGCTACGCTAAGGATTATCTTGTACAGGCCAAGTTTCGCTGCAATTGCTATCGCGAGGTGGGCTGTAACAAAAAAATGACTTTGATATTTTATCTGTTTTGTTTGTTTATTGAGCCAGTATTCAGTCCGTGTGGTGACGGATTAAGAATACAGAGTATCACCACCCCTATTCATCCCGTGGGTGTCGTAAGAGCCAACTAAGGGAGAAAACTACGCACAACAACAGCACTGCAGAGAGAAGGAAAACATGACACAAACCTTATACCAACCCGTCTGGCCAGCGTGGTATAGTAGGCCAAAACTTCCTTTCTAAGGAGAGGCCTATGTCCAGCAGTGGACTATTCTGCCGCCATAATGGAAAAAGACGCATCTACATAAATGACAAACCGGAGAAAAAAAATAGTTTCCATTTTATAAATTGTAAAAATCGCTGTCTCCAGGAAAATAAAAAAACCATTAATATTTTTATGCTAGTGGATGCCTGGCAGGTTGATCTCTATAATAATGATTGAAAATTGAACAAAAATAATTAAATTCATTTAAATAATCCACATTTTACTTTTCATTGTAGTACAAAAATTGCAAAGAAATACTTTATACTACAAAGAAAAGACGTTTCTGGCTAGAAACGTTTTTTTTACGTAGTAATTTATCGTACGTATTTCTTACTAAGTAATATAACGCGTTACCAGATAAAGAAACCTAAAATAAAAGAACGTTTCTAGCCACTTACTGCGTTTCAACTTAGTGAAATAAAAAAATTATCAGTATTAGAAATACCGATGCGCCCTTGCACCCTTTTAATACTGATTAAATAATTGACATGTTTACCACTTATACTATAATAAAATACACAATTAGTTAAATCAATTTTTTATTGTAAACAAAATATTCATATTAAAATAAAATTGATTTCTTCACAAATAAAAAATTCTATCAAATTTTAATCATTAATAAAAATACTAATCACAACAAATGTCAAATCTCTTTCAGAAACAAAAAAAAATTAAAACAAAAAAAAAATTAAAACATAAAAAGTAGTAGGTAATCATAGAATGAACAATTTTTTAAAACTTTATAAAAACTAAACAAAATTTTCTTTAATATCACTAGGAACATTATCACAGCCTTAGGAGGCATTTTTACTTATAAATCAGTCTTCATAAAATTTTGTAAGATCAACACTATTTTTATCAGTAGGGAAATTAAATCAAAATAACTTTCTATTGTCTGGCATTAAAGGGGTCAGCTTTTGTGTAATCGCTGACTTGCGCTCTTGAGTAACTCCTCTACACTGTTTATTTGGTTTTGGTGACGGTATACCAGATTTTATATTTTTTACTCTTAAAAAGTCGAGTGAGTATTCTTGCTCTTTGTCAAAATCAGTTTTGTAACGAATAATGTGTGTGCCTCTGAAGAATGTTACTTCGCAAATGTCACTTAGATAGGCTCGGGGTGATGAATTTTGCAGTTTGTATGTTGAAGAACAATCTTCGAACTGATAAAAATTTGCCATATTCATAACTTTAACAGTGATATTGGTTCTGGTGTTCGATACCGTTTGGTAAAAATCTTAATATTTGAGCGTTATTGTTTCAAAATTGACTTCGACTGAGTTGATGAGTTGAAGTAAATAGGAATATAAAGTCCAGTTTTTGTTCTGAGCTGCACAATTGTCCAACCAAATAACAATATGTTTTAAGTCTCTATTTGCATATAAAGAAGCTCTGACATAGCTGGCGATGTCACCCATTTTGCGGCCGAAAATTGCTTCATGCCATATTGCAGCAAATGTTTTAAATCTAGTGTTTTTTTGCTTATTACCTATTGGAACAAAACTTTCATTGAACACTATTATTCTTGGGCAAAACATAAAAATTTTAAATTCTTCAATTCGTGGAACCATAATGACTTTCTCCAAATCCGCAGCAAAATAGGCAATGTCTGAATTAATATCAGTCTGATTTTGTTTTTCGACGTCCGATTTATATGCTTGCCTGGCTGTTGTATATTTGTTCCGGTGTCTTTCATAACCTCAGCACTCTTGACAATTTCTATGTCTTATGTCTTTAAATTCCGGGTTGTGAATAAAATATTTTTCACAAACTTCACACTCTTCATGTCTCAGTTTTGAAAAGCTGATATTTAACTTTTTCAATTGTTTTCTATAGTAGTCATAAGACACATGTTCGCCATCAGACGGATGCTGTCTCCAAATTCTTGATACATGCTAGCTACTGTTAGGTCAGACGGAAGATATTTTCTATTTGGGGCGTGCTCGCGGCGGTAATGGGATATGGAAGGGTTGAATGAGTTTATGTGTTCTAAGACTTTGGTGTTGTCGAACTTTTTCGGATTAGGATTGGTTGCTCGTTTATCTACAATAACTCGGGTCTCATGTATCAGGGTGTTTAAGGCGTTCCGTACAGACTTATCGTTTATTCTATTGTAACCTAATGTTTCTAAAAAAAAAACTTTGCAGACATTAATTTTAGTCCCCGTTTCATTTAGCAGAAAATACGAGATACTTACATTCCTAGGCAATTTTCGATTATCTGTAACAGTTTTTCTCTTAGGCGTTTCTTTAGACGTGTTGTGTATTATAAAATATTTTTGTTCTTTCCAAGTCAAGTTTCTGTAGCAATAATTATTTTTTTTTCTTTTTATAAGCAAAGTAAAGCGTCTTTTCATTCTATGATCGAATAGTTATTTTATAAATTATTAAGACGCTTCTACTAACATGCGTCTTTTCAACTTAATATACGTCATAAATGTCTTTCTTATTTAGTAAATTTTGGATTATCAAGTAGAAGTGCCTTATTTATTAGTGATGTTTTTAGGGTTCTATTTAGTTTTTGCAAAAATAAAAAATACTGGTAGGTGCGTCTTTTTCTTCTGATTCCGAATATATAAATAGTGAGATTTTGAAAAAAATGTTAGAAGCGTCTTTTTTTCTTATGACGGCAGTATTAAAGGCTTGTTGATAAGATTCAGTCCTGCAGCTATGACATAACTACCTCTGTTTTTACTATAGTTAAACCGCCGCCATAAGCTTGGCCCTCCTGATGGTTTGAGGGACGCGGGGCGGGGTTGCATTCAACCAATTACCTAGTGCGTCGCTGTCCGCCGGCAGTGACTGACGTGAAACCATGGCTGTACGTGTTACTTTTCTTAAGACTGCTACACACGGTATTATTTTGCAACATGGATAATCTGCCGACTCTGCGTCACAAAAAGATTTAAAAACTTGAAGTTCGGCTTACAGAGGTTCTACTGTTGAAGTTCTAATAAAGAATATTTATTATTTTACTTAATGTTTAAATTGTATCTGAATATAATTTACATGATGAAGATAAGGTGATTTTATTTAAAAAAAAATACAGTATTAAATTTTACAATTAATCATAAAAACTTACAATACACTGACATTACAATACATGGAAATAAATTCGATTTTTATTACATCGTGTATAGATTAAATCT